AACCAGTTTGACACCCCTGAGCTAGACACTCTCACCCACAGGCTCGGGAATAATCTGACACTGACTGCTGATTTGAGGGCTGGTTAAATAGAAGCTGGGACAGGTGGATCAGATGAATGTCAATGAGAAACTGGGCAGAGCTAAGCAGGTGAATAACATGAGTTATCAAGCCAGTCATCAATCCCAAGTTCAAGACAGACAAGGACTTATGACTAGGATTTAAATGAATCCAAAATTTGCTGTGTGGTCCTAATCAATTCACAATAATGATATAGCTTTTCATATACTGACACTGTACGACTGGAGCTAGTATGTCCACAAGATGAGGATGTGGTTTTGATATTTCTGTTTTGCATAGATATAATTATATTTTTCATCATTTGACCTCTATGCAACCAGTGGTTGCTTTTTATCATATTCTATAAATCTGAGTATATTTATATTTCTCCAACAATCGCGAAACTTCAGCCTATATTGATTACATCTATATAGTTTATTTCAGGGCTGGAGTGATTAATCAAATGAATTGTGATCAATTGATTATTGAAATAGTGGTCAAGTAATTTAGTAATAGATTAATTGTTAATTGGAGCATTGGAACTCTAAAATACCTTTAGCTGACCCACTTAGAGCAATCATTACACCAAAATTGTTAAGAAATATGTAAACATTTTGCTTTTAACAAAAAATAATAATAATTCGTCCATTAATATGCTATACCTGGTTTAAATTCTGTAAAAAATCTTACTGGAACCTTCTGCTATCCTATTATTAATCGATTACTCGAAAAAAATGAAACTTAAACTGATATCCTGCCTGAGCATCATTTTCCCTTCTTTGATTGTCCAGCTCTACTTTGCACCTCTTTGTACCACCATCTTTCTTTTTTGTGTCTGCAAGGCCTTTATAACCACGTTTATTGCTGCTGCAGGCGTAATTAATGACTTCTCCTCTCTATCAATTTTCTCCTCTACTGTGTCTCTTCTCCCTGAGACTCGAGCAAACATACCCTTACTCTCCACAGTCCAGTGGGGAATTGTTTTCTCTGAGCTGGTCTAAACCCCCGCGCTGCCCACCCTGGGCCTCACTTTGTCCCATTCAACAGGCCAACAGATGCTGCTGAATTGAATGGAAGCAGACGAAGGCTGTTCATGTTGGTTGCTTTAATGCGTGGAGGATGGGATAAGGAGGGGGTTTGGCCATGTTTTCCCACAACTGTGCATACTTCAGTGTCACAAAGAAACCGTGGCTCAGACCGATTAAAAACAAAGCAGAAGCCCGAGTTAGCTCAGGTCGCAATCTTGGATTGAAATGTCTGAATCCCTCCATTGATGGAGACACATTTTTACAAGAAATACTCTGGAACTAGGAGGATCTAGTGTTTGTGTCCCTGATCTTGTGATTGAGCTAAATATTTGTCCATCTTCGCTGCGGTGGATCGAGGGGCCTAATAACTGTGTCTGTTTCTCTAAATAAATCTTCGCCTGTATTTGAGATAACCTGTTGAAATCATTAAGGCACCGGGTGCCTGTTGCCACAGCAACACGGGCTTCTCCTTTTCTGTCTTTTCTCTCTCTCTCTACTTTTAAAACACCCTCCTAACACACATCTACTCAAACACACACATTCACATACTAGAGCGAGGTCATGTGACTGTGCTGACGTCAGCCTGGGGAGGCAGGCTGAGAAACGACTCAGTTTGAGGGCTTTGAATAAACCTCCAGCTCAGTCCAGGAGTCTGTCAGATACCGTTAGCTCTGCTACGGTCGCCTATTCGCTCCTTCTCCTCTCCCCCTCGGGTGTGCTGTCCCCCTCCCTCCTCCTATTATCATTGTTTTGTCTCTTGCTGTCTTCTATTCTCGCCTGTTGCTTCTCCTCCTCCTGCTGCTGTTGCTGCAAACTTAGTCTAGAGTGAAATTCCTGTATGATGGACTGCTGAGCAGCTTTTTGTTATCTACAAAGTGAGGTAAGATCCCATAATTTGTCCTTACATGTGAATTATCTGCCTCTGGGCTTTCAGGCAGAAAGCTGGATAAGAAAGGCTTCATTCTTTGTGTCTGTCACATACTTCTGTTGAAGGGAAGTTGTGAATTGTGAAACTCCCTTTTTTATCTTCTCATTGTCTGACTAAACCTGGCACTAGAGTAACTGCAAATATGTTGTGTGATGTCTGTTGGGGGAGCGGGGGCTTTTAAGGGAGACCCCTGGTAGAGCCAGTAGACTTCTTTCTAAGCAAACATAGCTGCATGTGTTTTCAACCCCCCCAACAGGAAGTAAGTGCAGCACAGAGGAGAGGAGGAAGGAGAGAGTGAACATAATAAGGACTGTGCGGGTGTCGTGATGTTTAGCGCCACATGGCTTTTCCTCCCCGGGCGTTGCTAATGTTAGAGGCAGCAGTGTGGGCTGGGAGCTGCTGGCTCTGACTGCCAGAGAGACAGAGGCAGCGACGGAGGGGGGCGGGGGCAGAGCAGCTGCCACCTGCCCTCTGATGTGGTGGGAAAGCCTCAGAAACATGCATTCCGTTATCTCATGCTATCCTTCTTGGCTTTCTTTATTTTTTTGTTTAATATAATAGCTGGTTGTCATAATACTGAAATTTCAAACTCGATATCGATCCCCAGGAAAATATTCTCAATACTCAATACCATTGGCATAAAAGTGAAAAATAACTAAAGGCATCAAAATATATTCATTAACAATGTTTCTCAATAGAATCATAGATGCTAGTTGAAGTAAATGTGAAAATAAATGACAAATAAAATGGCCAATTATAACACATCTAACTGTCATGATCTTGGCACTGATGACTGGCTTAATTGCTCAATCCATTCACCTGTCTAACCCTGCCTGGTCTGTAATCACTGCTCATCTGATCCACCTGCTCCTGCATCCATTTAAGGGGCTTGCATCCAGTTATCAGTTCCAGATTGTCTTGTTCTCTCTAGCCAATGGTGAGAGGGTTTTTAGAGTTCCAAGGTGTTCCTGATTTGTTGATCCTGACCTGTTCTGCCTCTCAACCACTGAGCCTGCCTGTTCCCATCTGAACGGCTCGCCTGAACTGTCTTTGGACTCCTGGATCTTTGAAGCTGTCTCTTTCCGTTCTGACCTGTTTGCCTGACCTATTTGCGGACTCCTGTTTGCTCTCTGGGGCTGCAACGCCTGGGACATTTTGGGCGGCGCCCACTGCATCTTGTTTGCAGAACACTGCACTGGAAAAAATCGTAATCTAGATTTTTTTCTTAAAATAAGTGCATTTGTTCTTAGATTGAGGAGTTAAAGGATACATTTTGCCAATGGAACAAGACAGCTTACATTTAAAATAAAAAAACACAATTGCATTTTCTTATTTCAAGTGCATTTTATCTTATTTTCTTATTTTAAGAGTAAAAATACTCATTCCATTGGCAAACTATCTTATTTACCTACTCAAATTAAGGGTAAATACACTTCATTTGAGACACTTTTACTTATTTCTAGATCATTTTTACAGTGTGACTGGATCCTGCCTTATTCTCTGTGCATGAACTGAACTTGTAAATCGAGTTAGTGACTCACATGTTCATAGTCATTCTCCATCAGATTACCGTGGTCACTAACCTGTGTTTCTCTCCTGCAGTTTCCTCCCTTAGATGCCCTAGCCACTGCAGATCTGCAGCGGTTTTGTAATAAACGCTTCTTGAATAATCCCACTGTCTCTCTTGCCTTGAATACTGGTTCTTCTGTTCTGAATCGTGACACTAACAATATTTTAAAGTTGCTTGAGGATCGACACTCATAATAATGAGTAATTGTATTAATTCTAAAGATGTTAGTCATCAATACTAAAGAAGTGTTGTTTAAATATTTTTAAATGGGTTTATGGGTTATTTATTTTATGCATTTATTTAACTTGCAGCTGAGATGCTGTTGCAAAATCATGTTCCATGGTGAGATTGAAAAAGGGGAGTTTTTCCAAGTTAAATTCTGCCTTTATTTTATTTTCACATTTTATATCAGTGCTTTCAAAAATGGTATAGAGTATCAAATTTTGGCGTGGATATTAATATTGGGTTTGAAATGTTAGCATCGTGGCAGCTTTGGTTTAAAGTTTTATTCTACTAATGTGCAAATAGTCCAGAAATATAAACCAATTTGTAACACATGTCTTTAGTATCGATATTTGAGTATCGATACTTTTTGGAGTATTGATATTTTTGACCACCCAAGCAGTTTGACGAGAACTTTTCTACCTTCAGCTTTCTCATTCTGTCCTAAAAACCATTTATCACGCAGTGCATGAAGAAGCATTTAGATTAAAAAAATGAAAAACTGTTGGAAGTGTCTTTGATTAATCCAAACGTATTGGAGCACAAAACATTTCTACGTTGCAATTCGCTGCTTGTCTTTGCACACTGAACGCCCCAGTCAGCAGGCCTTTTACTTGCTTTAAGACAAATTCAGTTGTTTGATTATCTTTTACCCAATAATACTTTGAACACAGCCTCCAAATGAAAATCTAGCTTTGATATTCTACACAGTAACGTTCCATTATTTCACACTTTCTGTATACCATAGCATACCAGCTTTATTTAAACACAACAGGGCCAAAGTCCTGTTACTAAAGCAAAAAAAACATTGCCTGTTTTTTACTGATAGACATTTCTAATTTAAAGTACAGCATGGACAATGCTACAAAATGCTAAATTTCTGCTATAAAATAACAACAGTCATACATTTTATACATTGCTGAAATTTTCAATTCATATTCCCTCCAAGTATTTTTAACAGAAGTATAAATGTATTATTTGCTCCTATATTTAGCCTTAATTGACTGAAAGGAGAGGACAGTTTGTTTAACTTTCTTTGTTACGTCTTCTTTTCTGTTCCTTTGCTGGGAGACGGATCCTCATCTGCTCCTGCGCTCAGCAGGGCCTCAGTCCTCTTACTTAATGATGTGGAGATCTGCCAGTGGCATGTAACAGCTCTCTGTGACAGAATCTAAAGTCTTAAAGCTGCAGATATCTGCCAGCCCATCTAATTAAATGTCCACTGCTGCTCAGAAGATAAAGACTCAAATTAGCATTTGTTGATTGCATGGGGATTTATGGCTTGGATTTGGGAAAAATGTCATGGTGACATAATACCTTACATGGTGCATTTGTCAGTAAAAAGCATCGGATTAGATAACGATCAGGCAAAACGTTGTGGTAAAGGAATAGTTTTAGCTTCAGGGGAAAGGTTTCACATGTGCAGTTTTGCAAAGAAACCAGAGTATTTGAAGGTAGGACTTTAACCATGCGCTGATTGGTTTCACTTCAGTGTAAATATATATAATGAAGTCTGTGTAGATGAGAAAATGCAGTGCTGTGGAACTACTGTAGTATCTGGAGTTTTTTCGCCTTTATGTCACACAAAAAAAGTTTTATAATGCTCTGAAGCAGCTTGTCTGACCACGTTTACAATGAAAATGTTGTGTGTGAGTAGCTATTGACTTTACAGCAATCCCTTCTCCTGAGAAAGCACACAGCAGCAATGGAAAAAAGGACTTGACGTCAACAAGGTTTTACTTCCTGCTAAAACTGGGGGTTGGCAGGTCAGTGCAGACATAAGAAACACCGGATCAGTTATAGTCGGGTTATAGTCACGCTGTTTCAATTAATACATGATGTAAAAATACATTGTACAAAATGTAAAACATCTTAATTTGCTTTTCATGATTTGATCTCTAAATATGAATTTGACATACAGGAGTTATACAAAGTGAAATGAATGGAAGAGAATAATAGTGACTGGTATTAGTTTGAAACATATTAGGCTTTGCATTGCATGATGGATTAAAGAGATGCCTGAGTGAGAATCACCTGCTGGAATACAGTTATTAATAAATTAATTTAATAAGCAATTTCAGATTTAATAAGAAGCCCTTATCATCTCTGGATTGATGGGTCCAATAATTTAGTGTATAAATGATGTTTCTGAGCAGACCTGACTACTCTGGTGAGACTAGAAGGAAGGCAAAAAAAATTATTTTTACCTCTGCATTAATTCGTTTTTAGTTGTGTTTAGGTGAGGGTTATTTTTAGGGCAAAAAAGTTAGATGAATTAGGGCTAAAACAATTCAAATAATCAGAATAATCGATTTTTGAAATACCTAATTTATTAATCAAACTGGAAAGTTCAATCTGAACATGATGACTTGATGAGATGACTGGAGTCTGGTGAGCTATTGCTTGGTTGGAAAGAAAACCTGCAGCCACATGGCCCTTTCTGGAACCACTTTGACATCTCTGGTCAATTTCAATGGTGAAGTCCTCAGGAAATCTTCAATAATTGTTGTTGATTGCAGATGTGTCTAGTAGTTCCCATTGATTTTGCTTGTACAGCGGGGAGAATGGCGCTAGGCTTACCGCACCGTGACGTCACTGCTGGAAGATGTCAGGAGTGAGGTGTTACTATATTTGGGCAAAAATGGCCGCTCCCGGACTCAGTGATTTTGACGAAAATCAGATTTAGGTATAAATAATGATCCATTGATCATTCCTTGCTGACTGGCTTATTCCTTGAACTGTGGATTCATTCATATCTTTTAAAAAGTTTGTTGAACTCTAGTGGTGAAAAGTACTGTTGAGAAATGTTGCAACGCGAACGGACTAAATATTGAAAAATTTATTTATTTTCTTACCTCTGCTGTACTCCAATTCAGGTGATTGATAAAAAAATAAAAAATAAAAATAATAATTATTAAAAAAAAAGCTTTAGTGATCAACTTTAGGGTTTAGGCAGTATTGATAGAAGTTATTTGTCGAACTTCTGTCAATGCTTCTGGTTTTTCAAATCGACTCTCAAGTAATTATGACCTGAGTTTTGCGCCCAGAGCATCCCGTTCACTTGCATACAAAGCTCTTGGTGTGAGTTTTAAAAGACGAGAGGTTCTGTATGTTTCTTATATCATAATAAAAAACTTAAATTGAACTGGACCAGGGCTGG